GGCAAAATTTAGCATAGTATAGTTTAGCATAACACTTTTCATTTCAATACTTGCTTTTTTTTATTTATGTAGAAACTTGGCATAGTTTAGCATTCTTTTCCTTATCATTTGTTATTAGGGTTGCTGCTGTGGTAATTAACAAGATTAATTTGTTAATGTGCCATGTGTTTAGAGTTGGGATTGATTTGTCTGGGCGTTTGTACCAAACATCAGATTTGGTTTATGGTCGTTGTTTGTGCAAGCTTTCTGGTGTTAGAGTACTGATAAAATACCCTTTCAGTTCAAAGATATTGTTGTGTGATGTAGGGATAAATGGTTTTAAATCTGATTTCTATTATTGGGATCTTTGGGCATATGCATATTAGCTTCTTTACCAAGCTTAATTCCGAGCCAGTCACAAAATTTATAGCTTCATCTGAATATAGACCGGTTTTAAAAACCTGATATAACTAGTCAATATCTATTGTGCGTTGGTCTGGCTCAGGTCAAAAAGCTTGACCTAGAGCCTGATAACATAACCAAACCTATAACTGATCCTGTGGCAACTTAGTAGTATACATTTTGAGTGTCGAATTCTAGATTCAGGAAAAAAGCTTGTGGATTTTTTAGGCAAGCATTGGGTGGAGGCCCGTGTTCATCATCAATGAATTTTCGTGAGGTATGCTTTATCATTTGGAATGAATTTTTCTGAGGTATGTTGAGTCTCAAATTTTGTAGGACAAAGGTATATTATTTTTTTGAAAGGAAATGTAAATTCTTCTTGCATCCCCTTTGATATATCCTCATTCGCAAGGTGAAAATAACTAGTATATATTTTTGTGAAAATGATTGCATGATTTATATACTAAAATATCGGATGCTTTCAATAATTATTTTGATGTTACTAACTTATGTTTCACTTACATAGGAATAACATGGGCTAGCAATGAATTCGAAAGATGGATGATCGCAACTATTGAAGGTGGTATATATGAGCAGCGTTGAGAAGGGGTCGATGTAATTAAGTTTGTAATTAGTGTTATTTTATTTAATTTTTAAAGGATCATGTACCTTGTTGACAAAGTGGGATTATCTTATAATTTACACATTTTCTTAATATGTTTTTATAAATTAAACTATTTCATATAATAATTATTCAAAATGTTTGGTATTTGAATTCATTTTCAGATTTATTTGTTTTTTAATAGGTTGTACTACCCATAGTAAGAAAATAATAAAAACACTCGACCCTATTAAAAAGCATATGATCGATACCGACAAATATGGACAACGAGTAACTTTGTTGCACAAAGTACTATAGGCAACGACATAACGCATATTGGGCCATTGGGGCAAAGATGGGCGTCGATTAATTTCGTTGCCCAAAATATTATGGGCAACGAAAATAATTTGTCGCCCAAAGTATCAAATATAGGGCAACGAACTTGGTCGTCGCCCAAAATATTATGGGCGACGAAATGAACAGATCATAGGCAACTAACTTGTTCGTTGCACAAAGTAACCTTTGTGCAACGAAATAAAAATTCGTCGCCCAATATGTAATGGGCTTCGACCTTAGGGCTTCGGACCCATGTCTAGACCCATTTCGTTGCCCAAGGTTTTGGGCGACGAAATACTGGTTTTGGGCTTCGAGTTTAGTGGTTGCCCAAAGTCGAATTTCTTGTAGTGTAAATATTCTCATTAAGTCTGTTATGCATATGTTCTTTTTCTTAAATGCATATGTTTATATTTTTTACGCATATGTTCACCTTTTAAATGATCATATTCACTTTAAGAAAACCAATGCTTACGTTCATATTTTGAATTGTTATGTTTACTTTCTGAAATGCATATGTTCATATATTTTATGCCTATGTTCACTTTCTAAAAAGCTAATGTTCATATTTAAGGGAACCTATGCATATGTTCATGTTTTGCATGATTATGTTCATTGATAAAAAAAAATGCAGAAAATCAGATGAAATTCATACACAGATGAAAATGATCGAAGCTAAAAAAAAAATTCAATTCATATGAATTTAAAAAATCAGATAAACAACCAATTCCATATTGTAAGGAACATATTCAATCGTTAAATTGAAAAAACGAGAAAAATAGAAAAGAATAGAGGAAAAAGGAATTAAAGAAGGAAGGAGAAAAAACAAAGTATAATTTGTGAATTCAAAGATTCATATAAACTTTAATCAATCGAAATTAAAGCACAAAATCGAAATTCACACAAAAATTCATACTTAATAACTACTTTCATGTTGTAAGAAACAAATTCAATCAAAAAAGTGTAAAAAAGGGGGGAAATTAAAAAATAGAGGATAGGGAAAATAAAAAACGAAGGAGAAAAATAGAGGAGAAGAAAGCTAATGTTCATATTGTGCTGTTGTTACACCTATTTCTAGGTGCATGAGTGTGCACCTAAGAATATGCGTAAAAGGGAGAACAGTAATATATGATTTAATGGGGAAAATAGGGAATGTAATCTCCAGAATTTTGTGAAATTTAAGCAAATATTTTAAGCAAATATTCTATAATTGTATAATTTAAGCAAATATTTTACATATACTTTTATGAAAGTTGCTTTAATGAGAAAAATTATTTGGTTTTACTATCTATTACATGGACCAGCCAATTATTTATTTTCTGAACCCACCCATTCTAGGCCCAAGTCCTAACTAAACCTATTAACTAAGCCCATTTTTCAATCCAAAGAAAAAAAACCACAAACTTTTGAACTTCCCCCTGTCTAATTCACGTAGTACTACTCCCTACTCCCTTTCTGGTCGCTGCTAAAGTTGCCCTGCCGACGACCGCCGCCCCCCTTTTCACCATCAGCACAACTACGCCGGTCATCCAGCTTGCCGGTTCTTGCTTCTTGCTCCTCTTCTCCTCTTAAATGGTGATTTGATTATATGACAAGGATTGTAATTTTTTCAATTTTATGAATTATAATACTACAAGTTTTCAGATTTACTATTCATTTAAACTAGGGTTTATGTATTGATTTTTCATGATTTTGAGGATTTAAACATATTTAACATGGTAACTAATCATTTTATGATTTCATTATGTTTTTTTTTGGGTGTTCTACCCGTTTCACCCTCTGGGCTAGTGCGGATTCGGGGATCAGTTATGGGTGGTTAGGTTCCAGTCCACTCCCAATTATACGTTGTTGCGGAGGATCGAACACGGGTCCTCCCTACCAAGTGTAGTCCCAATCACCACTACACCAACAACCAATTGGTTATGATTTCATTATGTTAAATTAAGCAATTTTGTGTTTATAATAAATTTTCAGATTATATAAGTTAGACCATGTTCACTTCACCTTAAAAAAAAATAACATTAAGTAAAAATAATTTCATTTCAGTAAAAATAAATTCAATTCAGCAAAAATTATTTCATTTAAGTACAAATAAGTTTATTTCAGGAAAAATAATTCTAGTTCACTAAAAATTAGTAATATCAAAGAAGAAATATAAGGCCCTGTTCTCTTCATCTTAAAAAAAATTCAATAAAATAATTTCATTCAGTAAAAATAAGTTCAGTTCAGTAAAATTAGTTCCAATTCAGTAAAAATAAGTTCAGTTCAGTAAAATTAAGTTTTCTTAAAGATGAATTATAATAGAAAATCGGTAAAAAATAATTTAAGTTTAGCAAAAATAATTTCAGTTCAATAAAATTAATTTAAGTTCAGTAAAAATAATTTAAGTTCAGCAAATATAATTTTGTTTCAGTAAAAATAATTTTAGTTCAACAAAAATAAGGTGAAGAGAACGAGGCCTAACATGGAATTAGTAAAAATAATTTCAGTTCAGCAAAATTAATTTCAGTTTATAAAATTAATTTCAATTCAATAAAAATAATTTAAGTTCAGCAAAGTTAATTTCAGTTTAAAATAATTTCAGTTCAGCTCTGTTCAATAAATTAGAATATGCTCTATGTATAAACTTTATGATTTCCAAAAGACTTTGACAATAATTAATTTTCAGCTTTTACTAGTAAGTAATCAAGCATGCTGCAGTTTTATAAACAAAGGTGAATTTTGGTGAAATTTCGATTGAAATCAGAATCTACTCATAAACTGTAAGTTTTAAGCAATTGGGACTTTGGGAGGCTTAGAAGTGTTGTTTTAATGATTTTTGAAGTTTCTGAAGTCTAATAGTATTGGTTTAAATTTTGTGGCTCGGATATTGATTGAATTTTTGATAGTTAATTGGCTTAGGAGGATATTTTGTAGAAGATGATTTTAAGTGAAAAAGTGGCCCTCGCTTCGTTTATTCTACGTACGAGTTAAGGAAATTCTTGACTTTAGAAGCACGTTTAAGGAGTTGTAATAACCTAGTTCCATGTATTGGCCAGGGAACTACTTGGTTGTGGATTGTTGGTTACGAATTACATTATTCATATGCTTGTGTTTGAGACCCATGTTTTGGTATTTGGAAAATGTTGTTAGCTCTCTAATTAATTAATCATTGTATGATTGATTAAAGGATTTGGGAATTTGATGATTTAAGTAAAATTTATTAATTATTACATAAGGTAAAATTTCTTATTACTCTTTCATGACTTGAATTATGATTGAGTAAAGGAATTAAAGTCTTATATGACAAGGTTAGTTGATTTTGTTCAACTGGTGATTATCCTTCTAAATGGGGAATTAATGAGTTGATCTGAATAATGTTCCTTTTAAGTCTTATAAGACAGTTCTCAAGCTTTCTAATACGTTCAAATAAAACAGATGAAATTCATACTCTTGATTACAAAGAATTTAAGAGGTGTATATTCTAGCGATGTGTGTAAGTGACTTAACACATTGTAAGATCTGTTATACGAATGTGGCTTCAGTGATGAAAACTTTTATTTAATGCGTTTATATGTATTTGGTAAATTTAGAGTTCATTTGTAGATGTCATACGACTTTTCATTAATAAAATAAAATAAAATACTAACCATATTATATTTAGAAAGTCTCCGCTTCGTTATCATAATAATGTCAAAATAACAAATTAGAAAACGAAGGACACTCACTTTATTTATTAAATGAGACAACTATTTTACACTAGATAATCCACTTCACCAAACATATATATATATAAACACACACACAAAAAAAAAAAAAGGACATTAAAGTTTCATAATAGAGGTATAGAACTCAAAGGAGATCTAATATAATTAAGCAGTACAATAGGTTGTCATTGATGTTGCAGTTGGTGGTGATGGATGACGGTTTTACATGCACCGGAAACCGTTCGAAGATGGAGCAGCCACGCATTGGCGTCCGGTGTTAGCGCAACATTCTCTAACACCAGGAGTGCATGGATGTCCAAGGTGCTCCTCGCACACTGGATTCTCTTGTTGTGCTTTCACAGCAAGGACTTGCAGCATAACTATTTATACATACAGCAAAATTAATTTATATAAGTAAAATGTTTGTTATAAATGCATATATATAATTGGATAGTGTATATCTATTTATAGCATTGTTACCCTAAAAAAGAAGGTTGTTTATGAAAAATGTCACACTTTAATAAAAAAGTCAGTATTAAAAACAACTTAGGAGTATATTAATAATACGATTATGCATGCTCATCCTAGTAAATATTTTTGGTCAAGATACAGTGAACCCTGATTAGACCTCAATCCTCACAGTTTTTTTTGGTCTTGGGAGGAGGTTAAGGGATGCTCACACACAAGTATCGCAGTGGGAGGATTCAACCTTGTGACCTCCAAGTTACAAGATGAATTCTTCACCAACTACACCATGCTGCTTGGTAATTTTTGCTCATGCTAGTCAATCAAGTTGTCATTCATATATGTAACGGAAAAAAAAATGAAGTTAAAATGGAAGAGTCAATAATACCAGTTGCAACGATGAAAAAGAGTGCTAGTATGATTCTCTTGTACCCAACTTTGCCTTCCATTACTGTTTTTGTCACGAAGAATTGTTTGCCAAATTTGTGTTTTAAGTATGAAGTATGGTGTATTATGATTTTTTGTATTGTTGGTGAATGTACAACACTAAATTTGCTCTATTTATAGTATGTTTATCCTGACCAATTGGTTATTATTATTACTTATCAACTTGAATTATGAGTGTTATGCCCACTAATTAATTAAAATGGCAATAGATATAGTGTTCTACATTTCTTTACACCCCACTATGTGTATATGGAATATTTTATTCATTAGAAAGATCATTTATTCAATTGGCCTTTTGAAAAGTCATAATTTCAATTAAGGTTTTGATGAATTGTTTTCTGATTGTGATATCCACAAACTATTGTTAGTTAAAATTTGCGTCAAGCTAGATTTCCACTAATTGTTTTGGTGTAATTTCTATATTGGAATTTCATTACATATGGAGTCTTTATATTACCTCTGTATCTTATTACACGCAACTTTGAAGGGTAGTACAAATTCTTATAAAAAAATTGTTAATGAATGATCAATGGGGGGAAGAATAAGGATGCATTTGATGAGGAAAGTAGTAGAAGGAAAAGACTAATTAATAAACATTTGTTACAAATACTATGAAACGAAGGTTGTATCTATCTATATTAATAAGGAAAAATTGATGGGAATATTCCCACCTTTTGAGCGTCGGAGATTAATAATCCCACCTTTGGGATATTTTTGAATAATCTCACCTTTGTACCCAATCCACTCCTAATAGTCCCAACCGGTCATGGAACTTGTTATAACAAGTTACTAGATATGTGTTGGCTAGTGATTTGTCAAAAAAATTAAAAAAAATTAAGTTAAATATTTTAAAGAAAAAATAAAAAAAGAAATTAATTGATTAATTAAAAAATCACCCACCAGCCCCAACCACCTTCCCCGCCACCTGTTCTGGCCGACCTCGTTGCTGGACTCCCCTGCCCCATAACGCCGACCGCCCAGACCGCCTCCCCAGCGCCGACGCCACCCTCCCCCTCCCCCAAGCCAAAACCTCCATCCACCATCACGAAAACCCTTGAACCCAACCATCCCGCAACCCTCGCAGACCTTTTCTCTCTCCGGCCAGCCATCCCCAACCCCAACTCCAATGACGACGTCTCTACCACCCCCCTGAACTAGTCGACGCCGGCCCGTCGTTAGCGAGCTTCCCTTTCCCCCATTTCAACCTTCCATGTCCCTCAATCCCAACCTCTCCCCGCCCCTCGTCCCTTTTGAGGTCGCTCCAACCTTCCCTGTCCACCAATCCTGGTGCGCCTATCTTCCCTGTCCCCCATTCCTACCGTACCTTCCTCCCCTGACCTCAATCAGGCCGATTTGGTGGGTTTTCAATTTTTCGAAGGTGGTTTTGGATTTGGTTTTTGAAGGTGGTTTTGGGGATGGTTTGGCTGGGATGGGATACTAGTCGGTTCCTGGGGCGGTGGGAACTCGGTCGGTTTCGTGGGCGGTGGGAACTCGGTCGGTTTTTGGGTGGGTTGGTGGTTCTAAGGTCTGGATTTGGGTGGTGGTGGCGGCTGTGGTGTAGCTTAAGTGGTGTTTTATGTTTTTTTTTTTTTTAAATTTTTTTTATTTTTTTATTTTGGATAAATCAAATTGCGACTCATGTAAAATAAACTTAATAAATAAAATTACCTCTTCAACCTGTTTTGGGTGTTTGTAGTCCCTCGGGAGAGTTACAGCTCGAAGTTTGGTCCGGTGCGGCCTGTACCTACAAAACAACGGAGACTCTTGTTGGTTGGAGTTCCGCCTCCGACGAACAAGTTAGAACATGTAGGAGTGAGTAAAAAGTGCGGAAAAAGATAAAGATGAGATCTTTACAGATCCCGAGATCAGGTGCTTTCTCTGATGTGAGAGAAATGCAGGTGATGTAATAAGTGATTCAATCCCCCCTCATAATGGGGAATCTCTCCCTATTTATAGGGTCATGGGAAATGTGCCCTTATTCTAGGTCATGTGACCTAGATTTGGTGGGCTATGACAAGTTATGGGGAATCGGGCCTGAAAGCCGCCATTCATGACATGAAAGTGGGGTCCACGTGTCAGTATTCGGTTGGTTTTGTTTAAACCAATGCTGGGCGGACAAGTGTCCTAATGCTGGGAGGACACGTGTCTTTTTCTCAGGCCGCCACATGGAAGGGTAATTTAACCCAAAACATTTGCCCCTATCACAGAGGTGACGTGGCGCGCCACGGGGCGTCTGTGACACATGTCAGCGCCTCATTTGGTGAAGTAAAAATTTTACTGTTCTCCCTCATTTCACACATGTCAGGTGCCCTGGAATTACCCCTCTATAAAAGTAATTTTTTGACCCTCATTTCACACATCTTTGCGTGAAATTTGAGAGAGTTTCTAGAGAATTTTCACAAAAAATTGTGTACTCTGCCGCTTGTTACTGTCCGTCTGCACCAACCGGCTCATTTCAAGTCAACCGTACCTTTCTCAAGGTAACCGTCTGGCTCTCTTCTGTTTAAACTTTTAAAATTTTCGCCTGTGTTTGTTTTTCCTTTGCTTTCATAAAATGGTTTCACAAACACATTCGGCACGGCCTAGGATAGCTGTCAGCCGGTCACCTGGGACGGCTGAATCTAGGACTAGGGGTGCCGTTTGCCCCACTCTTCATCCGTCCCCCAATCCAACCGTCTTTGTGTCTGTGCAGGACACCATGGCTAGAACCAAACGAACAGCTAGAATTGAAGAGGGGGATGGCTCCATTAGGGTGCCTCGGAGCGAAGTGTATTATGACAAACCAGGCACCCCAAGCACTCCGGAAGACTCAATTCTGGACATGCCGGTTGGTCAGTCGGGAACTGAATCTAACCAGGGGTCTTCCCACTCTTTCTCCCTCACAACCTCAACCACTGACTCAGGCGGCTCCGAAACTAAACAGGAGCCGTCTAAAAAACCTGATGAGGAGCCCGCTTCCCTTGCAAGGGGTCAAGGTGAGGCATCCTCTTCCCTTCAAAACGAATACACCCCTTACTTCACACACATTTCCCTTTCCACCCAGAAAATAATGCTGAAGGGGTTGAATGACTTTAGGGACACTTATGTCATGGGGGCCGGATATGAAGTCGAAGTGCCAGCTTTGACGGATGCTGTAGTCTGGCCCCTTAACCAAAGCTATAAGGGCACTGCATTCGGCTGCTATGCCGCAGTGATACAGGCGGGCCTGAGGTTTCCCTTGGATCCGGCCATTGAGGCGATCCTAGACGGGTATCGCCTGGGGGTGTGGCAACTCACCCCAAATTCATGGGTGAACATCCTGGGGTATGTAGCCGCCTGTAGGATGCAGAACATTGAACCTGGCTTTGAGGCGTTTGCTTCTATGCACTACTTGAGCAAAGCCCCTCAGTCAGCTGGCCCCGGCTGGTACACCTTTACTAGCAATAAGGGGTACATGATGACACTTGGGAAGGAGTCCAAGTGAAAGGACTGGAGGAACAAATTCTATATAATCACTTCCCCAGACACCAGCCGGAATTCCAAGTTCAACTCTTTGAACTAGAACCCTTATCTCTTAGGCCAAAAGACCCTTCTACCGCCTGTCCCTGAAGAAGGTTGGGATCAAATCCTTGACCCTAGGTTGTTTAAGGTGGAAGTGCAGGCGGTAGAGGGGGTACTGAGAAGGAAATCAGGTTCAACAGCTACATCCCCCAGTATGAATGGCTCAAGGACCCGACCTATTTGGCCGCCTATGGCCTGAGCTTAGAAAAAGGAAGAGGTGGGTAGACGGATGGGGGTTATATCATGCATGCTTTACCTATAGAAAAAGAATTTTATTGTTGTTTTCTAACAACCCATCTTGCCTTTTTGCAGAAGAAGCAATGTCTCAGATTACCCCAAACAAGAAACCAAGCGGCACCGCCTCCGCCTACCGCCAGATGATGAACAAGAAAAATCAGATCTTCACGCGAGAGCAGCTTGAACATGTAAGTCCTTCTTTCATCTGGCCTTTTCTCATTAACTTAGCCTTAATTTCACTAACTTGTGAATCTTTGTACAGGAGGGCTCAGTGAATCCTCCAGTCGTCCCTGGGGTGAACCTCTAGCCCCCGAGCGGACTGCGGAAGAGGCGGCTCCGACTCCCCCCAAGCGCTCCCGGAAGATTGTGGCTCACAAGCCATCCGCCAGCAACTCCGAGTCTCACCCCTCCACCGGCGGTAAATCGCCGGTTGCTCTCTCTACTCTAAAGTAGGAGTCTGAATCCAAAGATTCCAAGGATTCGCCGTATGCGTGAGCAGGCTCTCCTGACAAGCGCCGCAGCAAACAGGTCCAGGACCTGGTTGTCATTTAAGGTACTTGAGTTTTCACTTTTCTTCATTCATTTTTTTTGCTACGTATAGCTTATCATGAGGCCTTATCAAATGGCCTTTTGCTTATGCCGGATGTATGTGTAGTAACACCCAAATTTATTCTATCTTTTGCCGGATGCATGCATACAATCACCCAGTCTTGTTTTCTCTTTTCATGCCGGATGTGTATACTCTAACACCCAACTTGATTCTTGTTATGCAGAAGCCCCCTCCCAAGCTCCAGACCTTAGAAAAATTGCTAAGGAAATGCTCCGAAAAGGAGTCACTGCTGAGCAGCGAGACTCCATCCGGGGAGTTGGCAGCATGAACTTGGATGCTATCCTTGCTCTTCTCGCTGAGGTGAGAACGTAATATATTAACTTAAAATCTCATTCGGACCGCTTGTTTTGCTAAAGGCCCTTTTCTGTTGTCCGAATGCAGTCTATGTTGCGAGTGAATAGGCTTAAAAATCCATTCAACGAGAAGACCAAGAAGGTAAGAGCTGCCAACCTTCGGGCCGCCTCCAATATTAACAGAGCACAATATGATGTAAACAAGAATGAGTTGCTAACTTGGGATATCCTGTATTCTCAGGCGGCTGCCAACTTGCATGTTAAGAAGGATTTGGAGGCGGCTCAGCAGAAGGTGGCTGAGCTCAAGGGGGAGCTGAAGACAACCAAGGTGGAGCTTGACAAGTTACAGGACATCGACAAAGACACAACCAGTCTCCGTCGTTAGGTTGAGAACTTAAAGAAAAAACTTGCCAATCAGGAGGA